ATGCTAATAGTTTTTTTACATAATATAGACAATGCATTAAATAAGGAATCATTGTAGCCGTAGACTTCCTTATTTAGGCGCGCTAAAATTAGGGATTAAATATTCTTCCAGATCTTCCACAACGCAAATCACGCACATTAATCTTCTTCGTCAGTTTCGTTTCAAATTTAGCATCTCTGCTCTTTCGATACACTATGTTTCAAACTGTTTTCTAATTTCACAAATCAAAAACGACTAAATCTTCTACATCAAACGCAATTATGTCCAAATTTCAGTAATACAAAGTAAAGGAAAAGAGAGCAGCAATTCCACCATTGACATCCATTAAAAAGCTTTGAAGCTTTGAATTCAAATTTGGGTTTTCAAAAATCATTATTTGTTTGGATTGGGTGTTGTTACAAATAATTGGGAATGTGGTTTGGAGTTTATATCTCAATTTTGAGGAGTTTTGGTGAAGATTAGACTTGGTTTTGGCTGAATTTCGGATTGAAACTCGAAGAAGAAGAAGAAGAAGAAGAAGAAGAAGAAGAAGAAGAAGAAGAAGAAGAAGAAGACAACATGACATACATTATATTGCAGAAATTGTAGAAAAATTGTAGAAAAATTGTAGATAAATTGTAGAAAAATTGTATTCTGTTGTTTATTTATTTTTCTTTTATTCATTTAACTATTGTATGAAAGTTGAACAACATTGTATAAAAATTATATTTAAGTAGTATTATATTGTAGTTGTATATAACTTAGTAGAAATAATGTACGAAAATTGTAGATAATTTGTAGATAAGTTGTATAATATATAATAAGTTGTTTGAAAATTATATTTACTATGTATAAATCAGATACAAAATATACAAAGGACATATTGTATAAATTTTGTATGTAAGTTTTATGTTATTGTAGTTGTATTTCACGGGGTGGAAATAATGTGTGAAAGTTGTAAAAAAATTGTAGATAAGTTGTATTCCTCTATAACGAGAGATGTTGGCATATCAAGTAACTTTATTGTTGCAGACGAACATACATGAAAATAAAGATAAATTCTGTTATAAACAGTTTGTAGAAATTTTGTAGATAATTTGTAGAAACATTGAAATTATGTATTTTCATATTAATTTTTCAAATAATATGCAGTTTTATTGTAGAATAAATGTAGAAAACAAGCTATTGTGAGTCTTATTTGACTCATTCCTCACATTCAACCTATTCTACAAATTCACGCCTCTTTAAATACAATACAACCGTACTTTTTTGAATTTAAAGGTATAGCAATATATATAACTTAAAAAACATCTTCTCCTCTGCACAAGTTAGCTCCAAAACAGACGAAGTGGAATAACAAGCTCCCATCAAAACTTTTAACACAAAAACACAAAGCTCAAATTTTATGTTATTGTAGTTATATTTAAATAGGTGGAAATAATGTGTGAAAGTTGTAGAAAATTATAGATAAGTTGTATTCCTCTATAACGGGAGATGTTGGCATATCAAGTAACTTTAGTGTTACAGACAAACATGCATGAAAATAAAAATAAATTTTGTTATGAACAATTTGTAGAAACATTGAAATTCTGTATTTTCATATTAATTTTTTCAAATGATATGTAGTTTTGTTGTAGATTAAATGTAGAAAATAAGCCATTGTGAGTCTTATTTGACTCATTACTCACATTCAACCTATCCTATAAATCCACGCCTCTTTAAATACAATATAACCATACTTTCTTGAATTTAAAGGAATAACAATATATATAACTTAAAAAACATCTTCTCCTCTGCATAAGTTAGCTCCAAAACAGACGAAGTGGAATAACAAGCTCCCATAAAAAATTTAACACAAAAGCACAAAAGCTCAAAAATAAATAAACAACAGTCTACAATTTTTTCTACAATTTATCTACAATTGCTGCAATATAATGTATGTCATGTCGTCGTCTTCTTCTTCTTCTTCTTCTTCTTCTTCTTCTTCTTCTTCTTCTTCTTCTTCTTCGAGTTTCAATATGAAATTCAGTCAAAATCAAATCTAATCTTCACCAAACCCCCTCAAAATTGAGATATAAACTCTAAACCATATTCCCAATTATTTACAACAACACTCATTCCAAACAAATAATGATTCTTAAAAACCCAAATTTTAATTCAAAACTTCAAAGCTTTTTAATGGCTGTCAATGGTGGAATTGTTGTTCTCTTTTCCTTTCCTCTTATATTACTGAAGGAACACATAATCATAACCATCAAATCGACCAGGCTTGTGCTCATCTTCCCCAGGCACAAAAACATTGGGACAAGATTGCAGAGGTGTCGACAATGCCTTGACTATGGAAGAAATAATGAGATTTTGATACATAAATCATGGGTGTGGGAGGGAAACGTGGGTAAAGGTGTGAGAATTGGAGAGAGAAACTTGGGGGGGGGGAGTGGTATTAGAAGGAATATACGATACCATTAAATTAGGAGTGTAATTAGTACCTTTAAAAACCACTAATGGTATATAAATGGTAATGCCAAATGTAATTATATGAAACCTTAAACATTGAGGGTAATATAGTTTCCTATATGACATAGGAATGTAAAAATTCCTAAATTATGGGGAGAAATTCAAAAATAGCCTTCAAATATAGCTACAGTTCAAAAGTAATCGAAATTTAACCACTTTTCATGTAAAGATAAATCTGAACGAAAATACTGTTCAAAATCCGAAAGATACTCCAACATAATATACTGAAACTCCAGTATATTATAATGGAGTTCCAGCATAAGTATACCGGAACTCCATCATAATATATCGGAGTTCCAGTATAATATATCGGTCCAGCATAATATGCTGGATGTTCATAGACAAGTGCTCCAATCTCCAGTACATTATGCTAGAACTTTCCGCGTGTTGGAGTTCCAACATAATATGCGAGAAGTTCATATAGAGGTATACCGATATCCAGTATATTATGCTAGACCGGTCCCTGTTGCAGCAAAATAGTAGCTATTTTTCAATAACTTTGCAAACGCTGACTATTTTGAATGACCAGTCTGAAAACTGGCTAGTCCTACTCTACTCATAATGTTTTACGAAAAAGTTATAACCTTAGTAATTACATGTGTAGTTTTAGCATACAGTCAAACTCCTCTATAACAACCTTGTTTGTTCCTAATATTTTTGGATGTTATAGCGAAGTGCTGTTATAGAGAACATATATTATAACATAACATGAAATTTGGTTCCGAAAAAAGCTTGACTTTTATAGTGAAGTGTTGTTATATAAGAATGCCATTATAGAGAGGCCTGACTGTATTACCAAGTTAGGATAACTGAGTAATTACATGATTTGACAGGTCATAATAAAAAATGGATATTTCAACACTTAATTACAATTGAGCTTAATAAAGGATCGATGAGAAGTGAGACCGAACAAAAATGGTCATTTTACGTATGTGTTCTTCAAAAGTGGAAGAATGACATAAAAGTCACAATACAAAGCTTTAATTTCTACCCATTTCTTGTGTGTTACAGTCAAAGGTATATCTTAAATCGCAAAATCTTGCTTCTTCAATTTCATGTTGTTTAATTGGACACCAACTTAAAGACAATCCATTCATCAATATATATATGTTATCCCATCAGAGTTTACAAGTTGGCTACTGATGGCTACTTTAATTTGTGGGATTTTACTCAAATAGCCTGGCGAATTTACTATTTAATTTTTCATAATCGGTTTACATAGATTATACATTGGTTATATACAATCATATATATATAATACATGAATTATATAAATATTATATATTCACCGATTACTTTTGATTTAAGTTGTTAGATGAGCGGCTATTTACTTAATTTGTATTGTTGTATATAGCTGACTTTTTGTTGGTATGTTGCAGTTTTGTGTCCTTGGTCTTTTCTGGGATAATGCATAAAATCCTCCCTGAACTATACCCGAAGTAGTTACGATACACTTTACATTTGTGTGAGTCCTATTACCCCCCTAAACTTTTTAAAAGTAGAATAAATGTCACCCTAGCTAAGTGCTGACGTGCCATAGAGAACTAAATATTTGGCAAGCGGTGAAATACACGTGCTGCCACATGTAATTTTGTATTTTTATTTTATTTTTTTAAATCTATTTTATTTTCTTCCTTTTTCTTTTCTTTTTTAATTCGAAATGTAACGGAAATATTATTTTGTATTTAGAAAAATGAAAGGACAATTTTTTTTTATGAACTTGAAGAACTATTAGAGATGTTGAGCATGTTCGGACGTTGCTGAAGTTTTAAAGTTGAGATTCAAGTGCTAAATTCATTCTAAATCCGTAGTTGTAGATGAAATTCGAAAATAAAAAAAAGAATTTCGAATCCACCATTGTTGAACTTAAAAAAGCTTAAAGAAAAAAAAATAAATTTGTCAAAATTCTTGGTTGTTGGCCAAATTGATCACTGGGGTACGATGATGATGTTGTTGTGAAGTTGTAGCTGAAATTTGAGCTTGATTTAGTCGAGTTTTTGTTGAATTTTGACACTAAAAAATAGAGTTGGAGCTCTTGAAAATGGGTGATAAAACGGGGATGAAGAGCTCTTGAAAATCAGCTTTGAAATTGACACGTGGACATTTCGTATAAGTTATAGCCTTTTTTTAAAGTTCCCACGCGCTTGAAGGAGTTGTTCTCACGCAATGCTCTACGTCAGCAATAAAAGTGCAAAGAATTACGAGGAAAAAAAATATAGGAGGGTAATAGGAACCCTCAAAAGTAAGGTGTATCGTAGCAACTTCGGGTATAATTGAGGAGGGACTTTTTGCATTATCCAGTCTTTTTTTGTTTCTTTCACCTATTATCTTAGGAAAATTCATAAAGATCAGCAAACCATCTCTAGGAGAGCTTCCAAGAAAATTTGAAAAATCAAAGGATCAAGTTAAAATATAAAATATCAACACTCAAGAAAACAGAATATACTAAAACAACTTTCTTATAATTTATTCATTAAAAATAATAGTTGCACATAACCAAACTATAGAGTTTGAAAATGCAAATACATCATATTTTTGCATGTAAAAATAAGCAAACTTTTGTAAACAATAATGACAAACATTTGAAAGATTCAAAGATTCAAGACACCCCCACTAGATATTTAAACACAAGTAACAAGGGTCGCTAGATTCGCGTCCCCATTCCAGACTATCAAAGATTTCAAAGATCATTTTAATCAAAAGGAAAAGTTGAGCATGTCCATGCTTAATTTCTCCATCATGAGAGTCTCCATAAAACCACAGCTATAATTTGGGACAGCCAATGGCATTATGTTCTTATTGTAAGTGCCAATAAATTGGGACTTAAGTTGGCAATTTGAAGAAATAGGCAGCATTGGAAGGTTTTCACAGTTGCAAATTTCAATCATATAGCCATCTGGATCATGGAAAAATACTTGATCTACTTTGATTCCTTCATCTTCTACCACTGCAGTTACATATCTCATTCCCATCTCTTTCAACTTCCTCTTCACCAACTCAACATCAGTGCACTGCTTGTTATACATATGATTTTTCATAAGCGATATCAACATTTAAAGAAGTGAAGACAAGTATATAACAACAAGCGGTGTCATTTTGTTTATTTATATCCAAGAAAATTATTATTCTTATTGCAGTATATAATATTTAAAAAAAAATTTCGACGAAGCAGTGATCCATGACACCTTTTGTGGCAAGGTGAATCCGCCCTTGTTTGCACAGACAATATAAAGTATTTTTACATAATATCAGTGTAATTTAATATGTCATGCATATGACAAGTTACTTACTATTTCCTTTGTTCCATTTCATATGGCGAGATTTGTACGAGGGTCAAACAATTTAGTGCTACGTAAATTGAAACATAAAGAGTATTTTACTAACGAATATTTATTAAATAGAGTTACTGAGCTATGTTATTTTTTAGGTATCTGATTGTATAAATACATTTTTACTCTGTTTAGATGCAGAAAACTTAATTTCATGCCAAAATGTGAGATGAATAACAAAAATAACAAGAAAATACATAAAACTCAATTTATTACCGGTGGTTTAGTTTACCTGAAAGGAAATGTGATTATCCTTTGGATTAATAGGGCGTGGTTCATTGTTGACATCCAAGTCCTCCATTACTTTATTCTCAAGTAAGTGAATCCCAATGCCATAATTGTAAAGCCTTCAATAATTCAAAAAGGTAAAATTTTATCAAATTCTTGAACACCTTAAAGTTTATGAATATGTAACTAAGCTATAGTTTCTTAGGTGATTTGTACCCCTCCGTTCATTTTATACTATGATATTTTATTGAGTACAAAGTTTAAGAAGAAAAAACTTTTTGAACATGCAATAAGTATTCTTGAAACTTACAATAGTAAACATGTATGTCACGTCATTTTTGTGACTAAGACAATATCGTTAAAGGTAAAATAGTAGGTTTAAATTTAAAGAAGACATTGTATAGTCGCTCTCAAAATAATAACCGACAAAAATATATCTTTTGTATATAAATTTTATATATTTTTTCGGCTACCAAATATAAATAGCTTATATCGCGGGCTAAAAGTGATAATATCCTTTTTTTAACGTAAAGGCGTCCATTCTTTTTAAAACAAATTATACAAGCGGGAAAAAGTATCATTAGATGGAACAAAATGAGCATAATTCACTGACTTGAGTGAAAAGGGAAAGAAAGAGGGTAAATGTTATGTTTTTCGGACTCTTCAAAATTTTGATGCTGCAGCCCACTATCAAAAAAGGAATTAGCTATGAATTTCGTCGCTAATCTATACTAAATCCCTCGGCTAACAGAATTTCTTGAAAATTTGTCGCTGCAAATTTTGTGTTAGTTACAGAACTTGTCTGTCGCTAAGTTTTGCTTTTTTATTAGTGGCATGCGTGTCAGATCCTCAGAAAATATACTAATTTTGAAGGATCTGATACACACTACGTAATATTTTTAAAGAGACCGAACAATTTAGGGCGAAGGAGGGCTTACCAGGCTCCATGAAAATTGAAAGAAGAAGGGCGTTTCACAAGACAAAAGCCCAAGACAGCTTCATAGAATTGCACTGAATTCCAAACATCTTTCACCAACAAAGATACATGGTTCAGTGAAAGTAGTGGCAGTTTTTGGTAGCTGCTGATGGTCACTTCCTCAATCTCCATATTCATCTTTTCTCTTTTCTCTTTTTCTTCTACTTATTACTTTTTTTTGTGCTTGGATCAGCTAGCCTAGATATGTTGCTTATTTATAAACTGCATTATGGAAAACTTATATAAGTGATATCAAGGAACCTTCCTTTAAAAAAAAAAGGGAACCTTCCTTTTGCTTTTTGGATAATCGAGGTATCGAAGCTACTTTGAACGCATATCGATTAATTCCAAAAAGGTGCTTGTTATCTTTCATCAATGCAGGTATTGAGTGTTTCTGTCAACTAATTAGGTTTGGACATGTAGAAAGAAATTACTTAATGTTTTTTTTTTCCGCTGGAATTTGAATCTGAGAACTAATAGTTTTCAACCTATTTTATTGACCACTAGACCACACCCTTAGATGCGAAGAGGTTCGATATCAAGGAACCTTCCTGGCAAGTTCTTATCATAGAGTATGTAGAGGACAAACATGTGTGATATTTAAGATCTTCTTATGGAATTGATCAGTTGTGTGAAAGTATGGATGTAAACCTATTTACATCTGAAATGCCAAGACACAAATAATGCTACTGTACTCAGCGTTATTATATTGTCCTTGAGCGCTTGAAATGAGAGATACATACGTATATGTTACTTCCTCCGTCCGGATTTATGTTTCCGATTTCGAGAATCAAACGGTTTTATCGCAATTTTCTCCTATGCCTTTTAAATATTTTGAATTACGAATTATTGTGGATTATTATCGTATTTTTTACGTAGTTTCTAAATATGCAAATTTTATTTTGAAAAATTTAAAGATATGTAAATTTAATTTCGAAAAACTTAAAGATTTTATATTCAACTGCACGATTAAAATCAACAAGTTTAAATTTCGACAACCAAAAAGTATCACATAATTGGACAGAGGGAGAACTTATTACTGGTCTCAGGAGAAAAAGGTTCATATATAACTACTAAACAAAAACATTTCTAGTAAATAAAAATGGTGATTGATGATGTACTTCAATTTTTAAGTGTTTGAAACTTTTTCTATATCTATAAAAAAATTATAACTAAATACTACTACAGCAAGAACAAAAAGGAGGGGAGGGGTTCTGGCAAAAAGGAGTTTAATGTTAATTAGAGATTTATGTGTCATTTAGTTGGACCAAAATAGGTAATTAGGGGAACACTACTAGAAATTCGATCAATTCGACTAACATAATCGACATCGGTCGGTAATTGCAAAAATCGATTGAAAAGTCGGAAATTATTAGGTTGGTAGAGCCAACCGACCATCAATCATAACCGATCGATTTCGACCGGTCAATTAAATTCCACACTCGACCCAAAAGAAAAAAGGATGACCAAAAATTGATCAATTTTTTTAAATTATATAATTAAAAATACATCATTTGAGAATCGAACTTGGGTCTATACAGTTATCCTGCCACTAGAAAATTGTGCCTTTTAGTTTAAGACTTTTTTTTTTTAAAATTTTATTTATACTCTTTAATCACATTTTTGTGCGAAAATAACCGATTGATTCCAGTCGATTTTGTTAAAAAAAATAAAATTACCTACCGATATTGGTCTATTTTTAAAATGATCGACCGAAATAACTGATCGATTTTGATCGATTTTTTGAACATTTATTTTATTTTATTTTAAATGGAAAACCTACCAAAGTTGGTTGGTTTCTTAAAAAAAACTTCCTGGGGGAAAAAAATAATTTTTCGCATTTTGGTGCCAAAGAAAAATAATCGAATTCGGTCGATTTCGTGGAAAAAAATTTTAAAAAATATTTTCAAAAATAGACCAACTTCAATCGGTTGACAGTGGACGGTTTTGACCGAATTTCTAGTAGTGAAAGTGTCCCCAAGCCAGGTCCGTCTTTGTTTGGTAGGATGCATTAGAAAAAATAATGCATGCATTAACTTTTGTTATTACTAATTCCTTGTTTGGTACACTTTTTCAACCGATGTATTACTAATATAACTATTAATTATGCAACTTATTTGGTATTATCCTATGCATAACTAATACATAGCAAACCATAATATTAGCAATACCGAGTCTATTAATGCATGCATTAGCATGGTTTCTTATAAGTTATGCAATGCATTTTGATTTTTAATACAACACGAAATAGTGGATAAGAAATAATCTATGCATAACTAATGCTTGCATTACAAATCTAGGTATTACTAATATACCTTATTTAATATTATTCTTATACACCCTACCAAACGACTGAGTGTATAATGGCATTATTAAGCCATACAAATATTAACGAAGAGCAAAATATTACCATTTCGCATAATTCAGTGAGAATTTGGCCCATTGTCCTTTTCTTTCGTCGATTAATTAGTACAGTTAGGAGTCGTTTGGTAGGGTGCATAAGAATAATGTTGAATAAGGTGTTTAAGCCAAAAAATAGTTTTCAAGGTCTGTATACAGCTAAAATTGGAGAGTCTGATTTTATGATCATTATGACACTCCATAGCCCGTCTCCAGAAGGCTCGAGGCACAGCTCGAGGTTCGACCCTGAGGGTTCCCTATGTTTGACCTCGGGGCAGTGCAAGCGGTGGCTATGATGGACAAGCGGGAAATTCCCAAGGCACGTGGTTAAAGCTGACCAGGTCTATAAGAATAGTACAAGTCTGTACCGTGACATTAAATGGCTACACCAGCCGCATGTCTTTATAATAAATGCACCTATACTATGTTGGGATTCCCCCTCCTGTATAAAGGGGACCCTTATTATTTTGTAAGAGACATGATATTTAATACAAGAATAAGAACATTCTCTGCTCTCCAACTTGAACATATTCTACTGTCGTTCCTTTGATTTTATTGCTACATTTATTGTGTTTTAATTGATTGTTCTTCATTTATTGCTCATCATTGATCATAAAGAGCCATCATCAAGGTCCTTAGAACTGTTAGTTCTTCATCAACCCTCCCTATTCTGATAGCGGCGAAAGAGCCTTGTCCCTCGAAGTACCTTCGACCAGGGAAGAAGATGGTGGCAAAAGAGGAGCCACTCCCCCGAGGCTAGAAACCTCGGGTATTGCAGGATCAACGGCCTCGAGAGGTCTCTCGGCTCAAGCCATTGATGTGTGGCCGCTCCTTTCTGTTGCACCAATGTTCGCACGACGGCCAATAGGTACATGATCTACCTCAACGGTTGGATCTCCTTTTCGCCTCCGGGCAGACCCTACCTCACTATAAATCTCCTCGCCCACGGAGGATTTCTTACGCTTGTTATCTCTCTTTGGCCCCGAAGTTGATGATCCTCCCTCCTCTCCGAGAGGGCATGGTTTCATCTCGGAAAATTTTCCAACGCCTGCAGTAAAGATGTTAGGAAACACAAAGGGAAATATTCCTTAAAGAAAAGAATCATACGGTACTCACCGTGGTGTTTTGCCTCCTATCTACCCTTCGACAGGTCTCGCCACTTACATTCATTGTAAGTCGAGCAAGCTACCAGTTTTCGAGTCCAATCCGCTTGATCGGGGACCTCGTATGGCAACCACGGGATTGCTGCAGAAAGGGAAAGAAAACACCTTTACATCGTCTGCCTCCACTATGAACAAAAATGACAAAAGCACAAATGTACCACTTACGTTTGAAATTCCATTTCTCAGGGAATGGCAGGAACTCTATAGGGATAATGTCAACAGTATGCACTCGGACAAATCGACTCATCCACCCTCGGTCCCCGTCTTCTTCATTACTGGAAATAAAGGGCCAGGTGGATCGATGCATAGAGTAATCAGGCCTCGGTAATGCAAGGGCCAACACAATCTAATAAGATGGCTGAGGGTGAACTCGAGCCCAGCTTTATCTACAAAGAACCTTATCATCAACGCTATCCTCCAACACGACGGGTGAACCTGTGCCAAGGTAACCCGATATCTTCTACAAAACTCGAGCACAACTCTATCTAGACGGCCCAATGTAAAGGGGTACGTGTAAACATTCAAAAACCCCTCTACATGAGCCATGATGCTCACTTCTAGGGAAGGTACCTGTAGTACTGCCTTTTCTCCCTATCCGCAGTCTCTCATAACTGCCTCAAGGTGTTCCTCTCTTATTGATGAGATGAACCTCGATGCATGCTCCCAATGGCCTTGAACATTTGGAGGTCTCTCTAACGTAAAGTCCCTCCTCGATAAAAAGCATCTCGAGGTTAGCTCACCGGATGCCAGCGGTGTACCACCGACCTAGCGGGTAGTAGAGGCGGAACTCTCCTCTTCTTGGTGAACGAATTTGGGCATCGCATCATGGTGAATGAGAAGGGAGATGAAAACATATGCGAAAGCTTTGAATTAAAATGGTGAAAGAACTGACGCAAGGAAGGAGAGCTCTATAAAAAGGATAGTTACTCAAAGTAGCGGAATCCTTAAATAAGAAGAAAGCAAATACATATATAGAGCAAGCGACCACTATTTACCTATTCTTAAGCCAACTAATTCTGACCATGCCATTACCACTTTTGGGGAAGTGTACCAGTAGAACCACCCCGGTCACTTCACAGTCATGTCATATGAATGAGACTGTCATACAGTGCTCGAGAGCTATCGAAATCCCCACATCGATCTAGCCTCGAGATGGTTCCCGATCTCGAGGATCTCTGTTATTACAAGTATGGACTCTAAAAGAGCTATCAATCTAGCCTTGATATGGTGCCCGATCTCGAGGATCTCGGTTACTCCAAGTATGGGCTCCAAAGAGCCTACATCAAAACTCAAAGATTAACTTTGCATAAGCACTAAAAATAAAATTTGAAGACTTGAAGCAAAGGAATCCTTTTGCATTCCCAAAAATACATTTACAAAGGGTGTATTTATAAATCCCCCCTGAGGAATCCATATGCAAAAAGATAAAAAAGGATAAGCAAAGATGACGACGCGAGTCTATTCTTCACCCTCACTACTGTCTGAATCACTTCCGAAAACCTCATCCGAAGTAGTTGAAAGTGCTGATTCTTCCTTCAAGGCTTTTCCTTTCTCAATCTCAGCAGAGAGATCGACACCTTTAGATCTTGCTTCCTCGAAGGCCTGCCTTATAGCTTGCAAACGAGCATGAGCAACGGCCCATGCCAGCTT